GGAAACCAACTTGACAATAAATTTCATATATTGAAAAAAAAAAAAGGAGGAAAGGGAGAGTTGGAGAATTCCTAAGATGGGACATTTAGGCTCCAACTTTTTTTTAACCCTGTTGACATTTCAGTGACTATGCATAATTACTGTGTAATCAGCATAGGCTATGGAAGGCCAAAGCCTGATCCTTTTTCACTCCTGCTTAATAACCCCCAAAGGCTCCCCGGTCACTACAAAATAAAAAGCTCTCCAAAGGTTTCCTTCAACGCACCATTTGAGGTTTTATCCCTAAAGTACTTTACTCATTAAATCAGACACCTGCACTCCACTTCAGTGGCCCAAGAATACACTTAAAACAATTCAGAAGATCATTCTGTAGCCCGTAAGATACATTTTTTTCCCTTAGTCATTTGACTGCAAAAATGCACTATCCAGCATTCACACTTACCATTTTATATGTAAATCTACAGTTGAAAGCGCACGCGCGCGCGCGCGTGTGTGTGTGTGTGTGTGTGTGTGTCTTTATCAAGCTTAGGCTTTAACCAAGTATTCAAAATATGTTTTATTTCCCTGTCTGAGCTGCACCAGCGGCATCCTTTCCTCTGCTGGTAGGCAAAGAGCCTACTTCTAGGATGTTAGGTTGTCTCTCTGTAGGAAGAAAGATCACAAGTGAGAATCGGGAGCGAGCAGAACTGGGGAGACTTGGGAAGGGAAAAGAGAAGGCCCACCCTAAGTAAAACAACTTTTAAAAATGAATCTAAAGAACTCTTAACATTTGACAATTAGAAAACAAACAACACGGTTAAAATGGGGTCAGAAGATCGGAAGACACTTCACCAAAGAAGAAATCGAGGTGACTAATAAGTGTATGAAAGATGTTCAACATCATGTGTCATCAGGGACTTAGAAATTAAAACAGTAACATACCGGGGCCCCTGCCTGGCTCAGTTGGAAGACCACGCAACTCTTGATCTCAAGGTTGTGAGTCTAAGCCCTACGTTGGGTGTAGAGATGACTTAAACAAATAATACTTAAAAAAAGAATAAGATACTGCTACACCCTTGTAAGAATGGCCCAAACCCACAACACTGACAACACCAAATGCTGCTTAGGACAGGGAGCAACAGGAACTCTCACTCATGCTGGTGGGAATGCAAAATGATAAAACCATGTAGGAAGACAGTTTGGTGGTTTCTTACAAAAAACTACCATTTGGTCCAGCAGTCACACTCCTTGGTGTCTACCCAAAGGAGTTCGAAACTTGTGTTCACACAAAAACGTGCACACGGCTTGCCAAAATTTGGAAGCAACTAAGAGGTCCTTCAGTAGGTAAATGCATAAATGATTCGTGATACACTTATATAATGTGGTGTTATTCAGCAAGAAAAAGAAATGATCAAGCCATGAAAAGGCATGGAGGAAACTTCAATGCACATTATGCCAAGTGAAAGAAGCCAACCAGAAAAGGCTATATATGACATGATTCCAATTATAGGTCATTCTGGTAAAGGCTAAACTCTAGAGAAGGTAAAAAGATCAGTGGTTGCCAGGGGTTTGGAGGAAGGGAGCGAGGAACAGGTGGAGCTCAGAGGACTTTTAGGGCAGTGAAACCCTTTAATACAGTAATGATGGACCCGTGACATTATGTATATGTCAAAACGCATAGAGCGGGACAACACAAAGAGTGAGCCCTAAGGTAAACTATGGACTTCAGTCAATACTGATATATTAATATTGGCTTATCAATGATAACAAATGCCCCCCACACGCAAGATGTGGAATGAGGGCTGTGTTCAAGAACTCACTGTACTTGCCATTCCACTTTTCGTAAACCTAAAGCTGCTTTAAAAAATTAAGTATTTTCGGGGCGCCTGGGTGGCGCAGTCGGTTAAGCGTCCGACTTCAGCCAGGTTACAATCTCGCGGTCCGTGAGTTCGAGCCCCGCGTCGGGCTCTGGGCTGATGGCTCAGAGCCTGGAGCCTGTTTCCGATTCTGTGTCTCCCTCTCTCTCTGCCCCTCCCCCGTTCATGCTCTGTCTCTCTCTGTCCCAAAAATAAATAAACGTTGAAAAAAAAAATTTAAAAAAAAAAAAAAAAAAATTAAGTATTTTCAAAAAAAAAAAAAATAAAGTCTTCTCTTCTGCAGCTGCCTCTTTTCCCTTCTCCCAGGCCTTAGATTTGACCCCAGTCAATCCCAATCAGTTATTTGAGGTGCAGTGACCTTTGTCACAATCTGATCAAGCCACGCCAACAGCCCTTTCATGTTTCTCATTACCCTAGCGTAACTCTAGACAAAACCATCATTCACAGGGTCCTCCCCCTCCCCCTCCCCAGCTTCTGCCTCCATGCCCCATCCAGGGACTCTCCTGGACTTTTGCAATTCCTCTCACATTCACCTGGGCCTTTGCACCGATGGATTTCCTAGCACGAACCAACACTACAGTGGACCAGAGGGGTGGGGGAGCCCCATGAATCAGGTAAACTGGACCACGCTTTCCAGAGGTGAGGCTTGAGCTGGCCCCTCAGGATGGGCGTGAATTAGCCAAACAGGAAGGGAGAAGGAAGGGCGTGAAGCAGGGACAATATCCAGGAGTCTCATTCCTGAGGCAGGAATGTGCAATATGCATACCAGAGCAGAAAACTCTATGTGGGGTGACGGAGCTCATTAGTAGGCAAAAGGAGGACTCCTGGGCTTTACCCCTTTTTAGGCACCTCAACTCACCTTTTTTGTACCCCAGTTTCCTGGCTGTAAGATGGGGATAATAACAATGGCCCCCTCATGAAGCACTGGAAAGATTTAAGAGTTAATGCATGAACACCACTAAGTCAGTGTTTCATGCATCGTAAGCCTTTGGTATTAGCTATTACTATTAAGATTACCTGTTGGTCTGTTGGAGAATTTATTACAAACAGACTACAATACAAATGTGCTGGCTGAGATATACAATGCCTTCAGAATGCCACCCTTGAAAACAGACATGGAAAATCTCACACAAAATCCCTGTATGAAAAAGAAACAAAGAAAAATGATACTTCATTACCTCAAATGTATTTTGTAGTTCAAAGTTGGAAATTTTACTTGGTGTGGTATAAATTTACTCAATAAGGACCCGTGAACACACTGGCAGTCTCAAACACGTCCAAAATCGGATCATACCACTGTATATGCTTTTATAACATAATCAATTCAGAAAATACATATTTTTAAATACTATTACGTAAACAAAATGGACAAAATAATGTATTTTACAAGTTACCAACCTGGTCCATCATTTTGCGGAAGAGGACACTGAGACCTGGAGCCTGGGACTTGGTAAACCCAAAAGAATATGAAGAATTTAGAAGTACCAGCAAGCCATCCAGTCCACAATTTTGTCTTTGACAGTGGACCTAAGAGCACCCTTTCTGGGAGAGTTAACTCATCTCCTGGTCTTCTAGACCTATCTATCCCATAATAACCCGAAATGAAATGTTTGTGTGGTCGATTAATAAATACACCCCTCACATGGAAATAGATGGTTGTCCATGGTACTAATAAATGCAAACATAATTTTATCATCTTCTAGCCAAGTGGCACATCAATAACATTTCTGGAAGTTCAGACCCTAATGTCAGGCCAGGCCTAAAAGACCAATAGCTGACCTGAAAACTCCGACTTGGAAAAATTCATTCCTTCATTCCTTATGCTGCTTCAATAGGGGTACTCTCCAAATCGAGATTGGGATGATTACTGGGGTGCCTGGGTGGCGCAGTTGGTTAAGTATCTGACTCTTGATCTCTGCTCAGGTCATTCATTCTCTTATAGTCCCTGAGTTCCAGTCCCACATCGGGTTCTGTACTGAAGGTGTGGAGCCTGCTCGGGATTCTGTCTCTCTGCCCCTCCCCCGCTCCCCTGCTTGTGCACGCGCGCGCTCTCTCTCTCTCAAAATAAATAAATTAATTAAAAAACATTTTTTTTAAAGATTGGGATGATTACTAATGTTTTTTC